CTAGTAGCTTCTTGTTCCTAGTAGTAAGGCCAGGAGCCCCTAGTAGCGTCCTTGCTCCTAGTAGCCATGGTCTCCAACCTAATACCGATGGCCTCCAAAGACTGGGTTGCTCAATCTCGCAAAGACTGAGCGGATTGCGAAGTCGCATACGATCCCTCCGGAGGGGTTCGGCAATCGCTTAAAAGAAAGAATTCCTGGATGATCCCATAGAGTCAGACTATTGGCTCGTATGGACAGCTCGTACAGTCAGACCCTATGGACTCTATGGTCTATACAGCGTACTATACAATCTATAATCTATACATACTCTGCAATAGAGTCAGACCTGTCCCTTGAAACTCGTAGTTGGAAAAGATCGAAGATCGATTGCGTATCGCTCAGTGGTTTTAGATACGTGCCTCCAGCTGCTCGTCTTGATCTGAGTTGCAAACAAAGAGCCTCACAGTCATCAAAATCCGAGCCAAGGGAACAAACAGCCGATCAATTTGAGGTTTGATGGAGACGTTGGGGAGGTGTCAGAACCTTGTCAGAGAAACATCTTGAGCCGTGGTCTGGACCGCACAAATTGGCAACTTAAGGGAAAGAAACGCAAATCCGCTATTCACTTTTCGGGCCATCAACATCACCAGTTATAGGGTGGAAAAAGGCTGGAACTAAGGCCGCAAAAATTATGTGCCATCAGGTCTTTAACACACCGATGAAGCGACGGGTAATGCCTTCCGGTTCAACCAGGATCTCACTTGTCAGACTCCTGAGAACTCCTCTGATACACTGCCATGGGGCCGTGAGCCCATGAAACCCAACAACATTACTATACTACAAAAGAATGGACAACAAACTACTATATAAGTCGCTATTTACTAAATCAATTCAATCAATCACTTCACCATGAATGCTGAGGTTCAATGACAGCACTCATCTGCGGACATTACAATATCAAGTGATATCAGTCTTCTTTGCTTGACAGCAAGGAATGAATACATGTACTATGATGCAATAAACATATGTAATATCATACAACCAGTGTGTGCGATTCAATCTCACCAATGATTAAACAATAAAAAAAAACACTTGTGTACAATATATGCACTCTTGAATACTGTCATGCGATATGCCGCAACCTTGCCTTGACGCTCTAGAGCACTTACGTCTCAACGCAAGAACAAAGCAACCACATGAGGCCGAGAACAACAGGATCGTCCTTTGGTTTCTCTTCCAGGTATGGCTCCAAAGGTCTCAACACGGCTCAACCAATTAGAGAGGCTTCCAGCACTTCCCCCCTTGCTACTAGTAGCTTCTTAGTTACTAGTAGCCACGGCCTCCAACCTACTTGGCCTCCACCTAATAGCGTCCTTCCTACTGGCTCAATATTCCAACCCCCTTCAAGTGCTTTTCGTCTCACTCTGACGACGAAGCGGTTCCGCCCCCCCCGTCGGGCACCTCCGTCCAAGTACTCGCAGCCCGAAGGGGCCCAGCCCTTTCACCTGGAGAAGGGGCCGACGTTTCGAAGCCAGACAGGGCTCTTCAAAGCCATGTTGCTACCACCAGGTGAAAGCAGGGACAGAGCTGAGCCAACATGGCTTTGACCTGGTGGTAGCAACATGGCTTTGAAAGGCCAACGGCTTTTTCTAGCAAGGGGGAACTCACTAGAGCTGCGAGCTCCAGCTTCCTGTTGAATGAGGGAAGATGGATACCAGTAGTGACGCTCGAGGAATGTGAGGAACTGTTCGGAGACTTGAACCTCAAATCATTTTCTTCCACCAAAAGTATCGTTTCATGTATCCCTTGGTTCTTGGTAATCATTTAGGAAGCTTCGAGATCCTGGCTATGCCCGGGACATGACTTCTGGGTGTGCCTTTGCTATTATATATAAACCTCTATCTGTATATACGGTGTATGGGAAATTCTGGACAGTGTGTAAAGCACAAAAATCTGAAGGCCTAACCATCCCCGTGATCTTCAATGGTGGAGATGCTGATGACCAGGGCTCCGCGCGGTCTTATCTCGGAGCATGTGTTCATCCAACAACTTTCTCGGCACGTGTGGATCAGCCACATCCTTGGCCGAGCAAACACATGGCATTCAGAAACTGTGAGGTTTCCTCGCCATATGTGCAGAGAAAAGCAACTGCTAACTGCTGACAAACATTGGTTTGCAAAACAACATGTTTTTCAAAACATATCTTCTTTATCCAGCCGAACATGTCAGGCCCTCCGTCCGATTGACCGTTTTTTCCCCACCAAGGCTCCTCTGGTCCCTCAGGCAGCCCATCTTCGGGGTCACCACCTGTGGTACATGCCACGTGAACAGGTTATGATAAACATGACAATGATCATGATAACTTAATGATTGTAAACAATGATCAACGTGATGTTTCCTTGGGGTGCCAGGGGTGGATGTTAGTGGATGTGTGCCAGTCGGGTTTGTCTCCGAGGACGTGGGCCAGGAGCTCTAGGGTTTAGCCGGGCCTGGCAAATGCATGGCCTCATTGATGTGAGCCCTCAGATCGACTGCGCCGGACACACACCAGGAACGCGCAAATCTTGACTCCAAAATCTTGACCTGTAAACTTTCACTAACATATTAAAGTAATGCGAAAATCCATAGAATATCATATCCGCACACCTTGCATTGCTGGCTCAACTGCATCAGGACTCTCCTTGCCCACAGTCATTCAGGAGCACGGAAGGAGCGCATCAAATGGTGGTCAGTGGCAAGTGATTCAATTGTCTGAATCACCTTCCCACCAGACATGTCGCGCGAAGCGTAGCAAAGCGACAAGGAGTTCTTCAAGGAATCCAAACAATTGACCAACCCGCATTGGAACGCTGCGATTCTTTCAACGGCTTCCGGCGACTTCCTTATGTTGATTTGGTTCGAATAGACACCCCTAGGCCCCATGGCTGGAAAGTGCCACAGGGCCTTGCCCAGTCGTGAACATCCGAGTATTAATATTTATTATATATAGTATATTACATGATATGTACAATATGTATATATATGGCATACATATTACAATATATATACATATATGAACCATTATGAAACAATGGTACTTGACTCAACATCTTCCTTCGCCATGTCCAAGAAGGTGGTCCAGACCACCCCATCGTTCGTCCACGTTTGTTGTCGTTCGAGTGGCCCCTCGGTGTCGGAGTAGAAGCTTGAAGCCTCGGTGTGTGGTGTCGGAAGTCGCGTCGTGAAGATGTGAAGCAACGGCCTTGCCACGAATTGAGTGGATCTTTTTTGAACATGTCAAATGAAGATATGGACACACATATATGGATTGAATCAGGGACAATTAGGGTATTGTTAAATCATAAACGAATATAAACGACCTTATATGTCCTTGCCTAATATGATTCAACAAGCTTGCAACTCAAGGGCTTAAGCAATGAAGGCGTGTTTAGATGCATTTCACCTACCAGGTACTTTCAGCAACGTTCTGGTCCAACTCCCAGAGTCAAACTGGGGCAGCCCAGCGCAAACCAGCTGCAAAGCCGGCATCGGCGAAATGTATGGCTGAATGTGAAAGAAAATCTCTTGAGTTTAACTAAGAGCTGAAGCCTATCGATACACTCTCACGGGTCATCTCAACCATAACAACCAGCATGTCTCTAATCTCAGCAACTCACAGGAGCTTGGGCACACTGTATGTCTTTGGTCTGCTTTTTCCACCACGCAGTCTTCCCAAATCTACACCGTTTCTAGTCGAAGTACTTTTCTTGTTACTAATAGCTTCTTGCTCCTAGTAGCGATGCCCTTTGCTCCTAGTAGCGTCCTTGCTCCTAGTAGTAAGGCCAGGAGCCCCTAGTAGCTTCTTGTTCCTAGTAGCTAAATTAAAACTCTGTCTGCTGGGCAAATGATGCAATCTACCTAAGTCCACTGAAGCCATGCGCAGCACACGCTGCAGGTGAAGTTTCCGCGAGTGGCGCCTCTGAAACCGGACGTTTCGTTGAGCCGACTCGAAGTGGAAAGAACCACCGAGTCGACCAAAAACACTGGGTTTTGATACGTCTTGAGAATGGAAACCACCCAGTTTGCAGGAAATAAACAAACAGGAAACGATTGGTTTTGGTATGTTTTGGTGATGGTTTAGTTTGGAGGTTGAAACATGTTGAAAACACTTTCTTGAAAATATCAACGATGTTGTGCCTGAAACTAGAATGACCTCGATTTGGATTCTATTTGGACCAGCATGTTTCTGTCTTGCTTTTGGTGCTGATCTCCTCACCTGGTATAGGTAACTCAAATCATCCAAATGATAATTGAATGATCCAAGTTTGATCATTGCAATTCAGTCATCTAAATCATCAGTTCTTACACAAGACAGCCATCTCAAGTCAATAATCTCAGGACACATAAATTCCAGAAACAAAGAAAACATCACAAAACACGCTGGGCTCGCCAGACGTCACAGGATCTCCGAGCAAAGTTCCAGGTGAACCAGGAAGGTTACCTATATGTATTTTCCCCAAACAAGTTCTGCTTGTACCCATAGGTTGATAAGTTTGAATGTTCATCCCGATTTGGAAATCAATAAATAGAAACACTGGGGGGGCCCAGCATGGCCCAGCAATGCGATGTGTGTTTACGAACACCGGTCTCCTGGCAGGTCATCTTTGATGCCTCGAGCGGCGCCACTTGGGATACTTCTTTGAAGAACACCAACAAGAGCTGCGCAACCCCAAAGATCCATCCTCAGGAGATTGTTTTTTACTACAGGAGTCATGAAACCTGTCAAGGCCTATAGCAGTTTCAGGCTGCAAATCGTTGACCTGCCTTTATTCGTTTCAAACACGGCTCCACAGCTGCATCTCCGTTTACTGTTCACTTAGTTTAATGATTGAACAGCTTTGACCAAAACCGAGATGTCTCGGGGTATCCATATCGCCAGCATCTAACCCCAGCCTTCGCTTGATGTGCTCCGGCTCCTGTTTTGTTCGGACCGGAAAAATCGCATCATCACTATACTATATCATACTATATCTATCTATATCTCTCACAATCATTATCACCTTAACAGTGGGTGATGGTGGTGGTCATGATGATGATGATGATGATGATGTTGATTGCAAGAAGTGATAATCTGAGAACAGTTAGGTCAAGTGATTGTCTAAATCATCTATATAAGTGCAATCTGGCCCCACCTCCTCGGAATATTCATCCGAATCATCTTCTGCCTCCCTTTCTTCCATGTGGGGCTTTCCCTGCCAAGGGTGCGATCACGCAATCGATCCCCAACAGGTTTCGAGGTATTCAACGTTGGAGTAATCATCCAGTCAGCACCAGTTAGCAATAACAAGCAATGTTGTCAGACTAATTACTGTATGGCAACAAATAAAACACATTAGCACTGGCAGTAGCGGAACGAAACTTTCAACCCATGCATGGATAAGATTATCTGAGTGAATTAAATTAGTTTCATTAATTTCGTTCACCTCGTACCTCGTCTTAATTTCATGTTTTGAAATTATTCACCTCGCCTCGTTTAATTTCAATAATTTCATTCACCTCGTCTGCATTTGGTGGGGGGCCTGAATGCCTGCCATGGCTTCCTGCACGTGCAAACTAGTAATCGGGCCTATTTCTTGACAATAGGTTGTTTTTTGTCTTTGGGATTCTTGGGGCTCTCTGCCCTGCATGGGTGGAACCCTGTAGCTCCTGGAAACTACACCCAACAGTGGCCTCTACAAGCCC